TCTCCTTGCGGGTGGAGGTCGCCCCGGTAGTTTCTGCAGGATCCAGACGAAGAAATTGCCAAGATCGACAGGACCGTGCGGGGCCCGTGTGGCGATCAGGTAGGTTCCCACGCTGCCGGGGCCTCCCGGGGGGCGCCTGCGCCCGCTGGGTGCGTGGGTCTCGGGCCGTCCTGCCGCTGGCTGGAGGCTCTCTCGGTGGCCGCCTCCTGGGGCTGAGCAGTGCCTGCTGTCGGGGACACGGGCCTCTGCGGCCTCAGTTTCCCGGAGGGGCTTGTGCTCCTCATGGTGTGGAAGAACCAGGATGGACATGGAGTGACCCAGTCCGCCACTTTCTGCCCTGAGGACACTGAGCCTCGGGCAGCCTCCCCCAGAGTCCTGTGCAGCCGGGGCGGGTCGGCCTCGGCTGGTCTGTGGGCGCCTGCCCCGGGGAGGGCTCCTGACTCCCTTCTGGGTGGCTGTGATGATGGTCTGCGTGGGTCCATCAACGGCTTCTCCCCGTTCACACTGTGCTTGCGCCTCCTGGGGCTTGAGGCCCTCCCGGCCCCTTCTGTCTGTCTGTCTGTCTGTAGGTCAGGTTTAAACTGTGACCCTCCTTCTGGAAGGTCTTCCAGCCCATCTAGCAGTTGCCAGTCATGGTCACTGCAGCCCGGGGCTCGGCCTGGCCGTGGAGGCCAGAGGGTTAGTGGGACACCGTGTGTAGTAAGTGTGTCTCAACACATATTTTTTATTGACTGGCTCGTGTCTCTCGCCCCTCCTTCACGGACTTCCCGCCAAATTGCCTGCACGCGCATGATATCATTATAATATCAGAAGTTCCTGGCAGAACAGGCGTGGATTATCTCTCTGCCTCAGAGATGGCTGCGGACTGTAGTTCTGGCTGCAGCAGGGGGAGCTGCCTGTCTCCACACGAGCCGGTCAGGCCTCTGACCCCCTCCGCAGGTAGAAGCTGAGCGGGAACCCCACCTGCGCCGAGGGCAGGGGGCCTGGCCAGGTGAGCCGTGGGCAGCGCGTCGCTCCTGGGCCCGGCAGCTGGGCGTGGGAGAGCGAGGGCCTGCACAGTGCCCTCACAGTGTGCCTGCACAGGAGGCCCGGGAGTGAGCGTTTCTGGGCCGACTCCACTGAACAGTGAACCAGGGGTTGAAGACGTCCTCCTCTATTAGGAGAAGAAATAGTTCATTTTAGGACAGGAAGTAACAGTGCATCCCAGTTCTTCCCTTTTTCTCCCCTTAAAACACATCTTCAAGCAAGTCGGCGTGTGTGTGTGTTTTGTTTGTTTGGGTTCTTTTTTGGTTAATCCTCACTGGAGGGTATTTTCCCCATTGATTTTAGAGAGATTGGAAGGGAGGTGTGAGGAGGAGAGAGAAACATTGATGTGAGAGGGCCACATCCATTGGTTGCCTCTGCGTGGGCCCCGGGAACCTGCACCCAGGCACGTGCCCTTAACTGGAATGGAGCCCGAGACCCTCCGGTTCCTGCGCCAAACCTCTAAGCACTGAGCACGCCGGCAGGGCAGGCGCGGGGACCTGTGTGGCTGTATGGTGTGGGTCTCTGCTTGGTGGGTTCAGGGTGGTGTTTTGCTCGGATGGGGATTCTCAGCTGAGGCTGCAGCCGGCTGCCTGAAGTTTCAGAGGATTTCTGCTCTGAAGGCCGCCCGGGCGGTGCCTGGGTGCCGAGGCGGAGCTGTGGCCTGTGCCCGCTGCAGAGAGCTGGGAGTTGTGCCGTATTATTTCTCACCAGAAGGCATTTTCATGCTTGTCCAGAGATGAATGATAACGAGTTTGTGCACATTTTGGAGAGTAGATAGCTTGAAAGTTATCCGGCTACTTAGGGGCAATCGATGTCTCCCATTTCTCAGGGTCGATTTACGCAGCTGGAGTTTTTGGGTAATGGAACCTTTTTGCCCATGAATGACACAGAATCACAGGGTGTCCTAGGTCAGCCCAGGACAACAGCCTCGAGCTACTTGTGCCATCACCTTAAACTTCGTGCAACCGCTTCCTGGGGCCACGGGAACCGCCCACTCCCACCGTGGCCTGATGACAGTGGACTCTACCTAAGGTCCACTTCACGTGTCCATTCTGATGTTTGATCTTTTGCACGTGAAGCGACTGGTATGGAAGTGGAACCGGGGCTTTCTGGCTGTTCTCAGAACATGATTCTGCACCGGGGAGTTCTGTTCTTTATTGAAAGCGGCCCAAGGAGTCGGGTGTTGGAACGGGTGTTGGAGCGGTCAGGAGCGGCCCGTGTGCTCCCCTTCCTTCCTGCGTCAGACTGGGCTGCCTCCTGCGGCCGGGAAGGTTAGGGTGCAGACTGCTGTCTGCTCCCGGCCCTGCCTCCTGCAGAGGCCACCTCTGGGAGCCGTGTGTCCGCTTGTCACCAGTTAGAGCTGCAGGTCGGAAACTGTTGCCGGTTCCTGTCCAAAGGCCTGCTCTCGGCTGCTCCAGCACCGGGGTGGGGGCGGCTCCCAGCTCCTGCCTTCGGACCTCAAATTCATTCCTGGAGGAAGAGCAACCAAACCCTTTCTGAGCGAAGGAAAGACCCCCTAGCACCCTAGACCCGGTGGGAGAGGGGTGGGCCTCCGGGCTGTGGCAAGGCCGCCGTGCATCTGCATGCCCGTCTGTGCTCCTGGGGAGAAGGGCTCGGCCCGGCCAGGCTCCGGCCCTGAATGGGCTCTGGTTTCCTGCGAAAGCGGCCAGCGGGTGGGCTGTGACGGGGAGACCGGGAGCGCACGCTCCACGTTCACTTACAGGCACCTCGGGGGTCTCTCCGCCTGGTCGACGTTAACAGTCTCGGCCTTGAACACCAGGAGGGTCAGGCTTCCCGAGGCCTCCGTGCCCGAAGCATCGTCACCTGCTGGATCTTCAACAAAATCGCCACCTTATGATTGAATCAGTCGTGTACAGAATCAGTCGTGTACAGACAGCAGAATGGGGGCTACCAGAGGGGGAGGGGTGGGAGCAGGACAGGTGTGAGGGGCAAACACAGGCCCTGACCGGCGGTGGGAGGATCTAGACCTGTGGTTGGCAAACTGCGGCTCTTTGGGCCCTTGAGTGTGGCTCTTCCACAAAATACCACGTGCGGGCGCACGTACAGTGTGATTGAAACTTCGTGGCCCATGCGCAGAAGTCGGTTTTTGGCCTGGGCGAGTCTGTTTTGAAGAAGTACTGTTGCTATTTGGCTCTGTTGACTAGTGAGTTTGCCGACCACGGGTCTAGACCTTGGGTAGGGAGCGCGCATGGGTAGGCAGGTGTCAGAACGTTGTACGCCTGAAATTTACGTAAAGTTACTAACCAGTGTTACCCCAAGACATTTAACAAACATTTTTAATCAGTCAGGCTTTTTGAGAATAGGATGACAGCTTTGAAAAGAAAATTCCCTAAATGGCAAATGACCTGAGTATTTTCCAGATATCGAAAGCTGAGTAAAATTCAGTTCTGGCATCTTTCAAAGCAACGCCTGTTGTTTGGGGTCTAATGGTGGCGTCTTCACTTCCCCTTATTTGGGTCTCGCTCCCCAGTGCGGGGGTCTCTGGGCCCCACCCACCTCCGAGGGCTTCTCAGTGTAACCTGTGACCGCGGCTCGACTGGGTCTAGCTGGGCAGGTAGCCTTTGTGTTCTGTTTTGAGTTGAGGAAAACAAGGTCCCCACGACATAATGTGCTTGGGCCCTGCAGCCCATGGAGATGTCACGTTTGAGGTGACGTGGTGCTTCAAAATGGGGAGACTTCAACCATAGATGGCAATTTACACTTTCTGTCTTTATGCTTGTGAATGGGGGTGGTCATGTCAAAATGTTCATCGGAAACTCTACCTTCCCCTTCTAAGAAATGTTCCTAGCTGAGTTGTACTTGTTAAAAAAAACAAACCTCTGACTCCTGACTGAGTGACCCACAGTGCCCTGCAGTGGCCATGCCCAGCGCCTTGCTAGCTGCACGTGGGTCTGTGTGCTTTTCGTTGGTGAAAACCTAAGAGGGTTTGTTGTGTCTTATGCCTCCTGCATCCCTTCGCTGCTCAGACCTCGTGTGAGAAGGATGATCGGAGGATAAGATGCCGCTGACCCGCTCGCTTTCCTAGACACGGACTTCGTGTCCATAGGCTCCCAGGCTGTGCCGGAGGGACAGAACGCTGGGGCCCTGGCGGGCGTGTCTCCTTCGCCCTGCACTGCTGTCCCGGGGGGAGACGTGTGGGCTCCTGCCACGTCCACACGCCCTGCCTGTGGAGGTAGCGGCCCAGCCAGCGCTTACCAACCTGCTTTCCCTTCCCAGCCGTGGGCCGGCAGCGCAGCCTGTGAGAACCCGTGCTCCCTGATCCCCACGCCGGACAAGGACGACAACGAGCTGGTGTACCCCATCTCCGCACACAAGCCCCCCAGCGCCAGGCCCCCCAGAGCCTCGCCCCTGCCTCTGCTGAAGTGAGTGCCTGCCCTGCGCCCCACGGCCCGCGCGGCACGGCGGGTGCACGCTGACCCCGTCTGTCCTCACTGGTGTGTCCTGTAGCTGGGCCAACCGAGAGGAGGTTTGGAGAATCATGTTGAACAAGGAGCAGATGTACCTCCGGGACCAGCACCTGCTGCAGCGGCACCCGCTCCTGCAGCCGAAGATGCGCGCCATCCTCCTGGACTGGCTGATGGAGGTGAGCCGCGGCCCGGCCGGCGGGGGCCTCTGCTCCCAGCCCGGGCCTTCGTCCACTGGCACAGCCCGAGCCTCCGAGGCTGGGGAGGAGGCGAGGCTGGCCCTGTCCCGAGTTTGTAGTTGAGACCGTCTGTCTGAGCGAGAGCCTTACTGCAGCCTGGAGTCTTCACTCCGCTTTCCAGAGCTCTGCCTCTTCTGCAGGAGAGCTTGGACATTTGTAGTCTTTCTTATTTTTTATTTTTATTTTCTTCCTTTAAATGTATTACTGATTGAGAGAGAGAGAGACATGGATGTGTCCGCTTGCTTATACACCCATTGGTTGGTTCTTGTATGTGTCCTGCCTGGGACCCGCCCTGCAGCCTTGGTGTGGGGTTGACGCTCCAACCAGCTGAGCTCCCGCCGGGGCGGGACGTGTAGACTTTACCCAAACGTGCCCTCAGCTGTCAGCTGACTGAGCTCGCCCGTGGTGAGGAAATAGCCGGCGCTTTCAAGTCGGATGGAACTCCCAGGGCAGCACTCGGAGCAGATCCCAGCGTTTGTGACAGGGGTCTGGCCGGCCTGAGCGCGCTCCGAGCTTATTGCCGATGGCAGCTCGCTCCTCCGCGTCCCCTTCCTGCGCCTGTGCTGAGGGGCAAGCAGGGGGTCCTTCCAGGGAAGCACACGTCTCCCTCGGTCTGTCCTTCGGTAGCTCGGGCGGCCTCTGCCTCCCTGCTCCCTCAGCAGCCGGTGTGAACGCCCTTGTTCCGGCAGGTGTGCGAGGTGTACAAGCTGCACAGGGAGACGTTCTACCTGGCGCAGGACTTCTTCGACCGCTACATGGCCACGCAGCACGACATCGTCAAGACGCTGCTGCAGCTCATCGGCATCTCGTCCTTATTCATCGCCGCCAAGCTGGAGGTGCGTGGTCTGCGGGTGCCCGGGGCGGGGCTCACGCGGCCCCTAGTGCCCCCGAGATTGGGGCGAGGCCCACTGCTTGTCTGCGTGCACACCCCACATTGCCCCACGTGAGGCCTTCTAAAGCTGACCCACACACAACCCTAAAAATGAACCAGGAAGGGCGAGAAGCGGTGCGTGCATGACATGCTCAGGGTCACGTAGTCCGATAAGTGGAGAGGTTAGCCCTGACCTAAGAGGACTGCAGTTGGGGTGTGAGGACAGAGTGGACAAGCCCAGCTTCCAAAGATGCTGCTCAAAGTATTGGGCACGATGAAAGTTTCAGACTCTTCCCAGCGAGGAGAAGTTTGATTGATTGACTGGTTGGTGAGGGTGGGTGTTTCATTTCTTTCCCTTTAACGCAGCGTGAACCCCTGGAGTGGCTCCGCATTTATCCCAGGAATGTACCCCCTTCCTTCCCTGCCGTGCACCCCCTCTTTCCCTGCCGTGCACCCCCTCCTTCCCTCCGGCACACTGGGAATGACTTCGGTCGCTATTAATAGTTGAACCGGCAGAGAGGGGCTTGTTGCTAGTAGCGGCTGCTTCCCTCAGGAAATCTACCCTCCGAAGCTGCACCAGTTCGCGTATGTCACGGACGGGGCCTGCTCGGGAGACGACATCCTCACCATGGAGCTGATCATCATGAAGGTGGGCGCGCCTCCCTCCTCAGCGCTTTGCGCACAGCACCCCGCCCCGGCCAGTGCGTCTGCCGGCGCCCCTCCGCGGGACCCGGTGGCCGGGGTCGGCCGTGTGGTCAGCTCCTTGGAGGACAATCAGGCAGAAATGTCTTCCTTCCTCTTCCCTCAGGCTCTCAAGTGGCAGCTAAGTCCCCTGACCATCGTGTCCTGGCTGAACGTGTACATGCAGGTGGCCTACCTGAACGACATGTACGAGGTGCTCCTGCCTCAGTATCCCCAGCACATCTTCATCCAGATCGCAGAGGTCGGTGCCGCGGCCTGGGGTGCCTGCCCCCGTCCCCCCGCCCCCGGCCGCCCGTGGCCCGCGGAGGCGTGTGGCCGCCTGCTCAGTGCTCTGTCCCCGCAGCTCCTGGACCTCTGCGTGCTGGACGTGGGCTGCTTGGAGTTCCCCTACGGCGTCCTGGCCGCGTCCGCCCTGTACCACTTCTCCTCCTCCGAGCTGATGCAGAAGGTCTCAGGTGCGCCTCTCCCCGGGCGCTCGCGGGGCGGACGGGCCGGCCGCTGCCTGGGCGCCTGACCCGCGTGTCCTCCGCAGGGTACCAGTGGTGCGACATCGAGAAGTGCGTCAAGTGGATGGTCCCCTTCGCCATGGTCATCAGGGAGGCAGGGAGCTCGAAGCTGAAGCAGTTCCGGGGCGTGCCCCCCGAGGACGCCCACAACATCCAGACCCACCTGAACAGCCTGGACCTGCTGGTCAGTCCCCCCCCCCCCCCGCCCCCAAGGAGGGAGTCACTCGGCAGGCGCTGCGCTGAGCACAGGCTTCTAGATGGTTCTTTGCTATTTTCCCCTCACTCACCCCCACAGGACACAGCACACAGTCGGTGACGCCCAGACACACTTGCTCCCGTGGTAACACTCTGCTCTTGTCTGCAGGACAAAGCACAAGCCAAGAAAGCCATATTGTCGGAACAGAATAGGGTTTCTCCCCTCCCGTCCGGGCTCCTCACCCCCCCGCCGAGCGGCAAGAAGCAGAGCGGCGAGCCGGAGACGGAGTGACCCACCAGGCTCCTCACCAAAGACAGTGGTGCCCAAGTGCCTGCCGTCCGCGCCCCGGAGGCCGCCTCAGCTTCAGGCGCGAGCAGGGCTCCTGAGGACGGCACTGGACGGGAGTGTCGTCTCGAGGCCTCGACTGTGTGATCAGCGGGTCAAGTTCACCAGCCACCTCCAGACACGACCGCTCGATGCTGCTAGGAGGGCGCTGCTAGACTTGACCGACCCTCCCAGACCCCAGGGCGAAGCTGAGGAGCGCGGCCTCCGGTCCTGGGCGCTCGGTGCTGAGGGGCGGGCGGGGCGGGCGCCATGACGCGGGGCCACGGCCAGCCTCGCGGGGCCCGCCCTCCACGCTCTCTATCAGTTGACAATGTACAATGCCTTTTATGAACTTGTTCCAAGTGCTGCTACGTCTGCCCGTTTTTAATAAAGGTAACACTGTCTTTGAGACAGCTGGCTCCATGCGCTGTGTCTGCTCATTGGCCTTAGAAGCCAACGCTGAACGCGGCCGCGCCGAGTTCTCGGTTCTGACTTCACGCTTCTGGGAGCTCCAGGCTCTCCGCTGACAGAGCTCCGGGGTGGCCTCGATGCCACCCCGGCCCGGAGAGAGCAGGCTCCGCGGCCTCGCTCCCACCGTGCCCGGCTCGCGCCTCCCCCGCCTGAAGGGTTCTGTCTGGAGATCTCAGCAGCGTGGCCTGAATTCGGGAGAAGGAAATGCCAAGTAGTTACACGCAGCCCAGGCCATGACGTCACCCGCGCTTGGACCCCGGCCGCCGGTGGAGTCGCCGCCGTCGGCTCACGGAGGAGGCCTGGCGTACGCGGTTCACGGCACGCGTGTTGACCGTCTCGACGTGGTGGCCTCGACAACTGTCTTCCTTTCTCACAAGGCTTTGGCGTGTGAATGGGTTCGTAAACGGGAGGGTGAATGAGCAAATAAATCAACTTGTTTCCGACTTGGTATTTTTATCTCATCTTGTAAAAAATCTGCCTGATGTAGAAGGAAAAACAGCCATTTCCAATGTGTCATATTTGTAGGAAGTTGGAGACAAGTTTAATACCGTTTCCTGGTAAAACTGTCCTAAATCTCCAGGCAATGCTATATGACTGCAAATGACACCCGACAGCAGTTCCATTTCAGGTGAAAAATTTTTTTAAATTTTTATTGATTTCAGAGAGGAGAGGGAGAGAGAGAGAGAAACATCAATGAGAGAGAGTCATGGATCGGCTGCCTCCTGCACGCCCCCTACTGGGGATGGAGCCCGCAACCAGGGCCTGTGCCCTGACGGGGAATCGAACCCTGACCTCCTGGTTCATAGGTCAACGCTCAACCACTGAGCCACGCTGGCCAGGCCATTTCAGCTGAATTTTTCGCGTGATCGCTTGCAAGTGATTTGCAAAAAATCCTAAAAGTGGTTCATTTCCATTGGGCATTTTCTATGCAAAAAGATGGCACCGAAACCATTCCTATTTTCAAAGTTTTCTTACAAGTTTGGGAGCTTGACACGAGGGAGGTCACAGGGGTCGGAAAGCAGGTTTGGGGTGAACGTTAATTTCCAGGTCGCCCGGCAGCCTCAGGTTGTGGGTCTCCCTGAGTGTGACGAGCTGAGAGGCGGGTGTCTCAAGTGGCTGGAATGCTGTGTTTCTGGAAGCCCGTCTTTTTAAACGACAGTGTTGCCACGGGCGACGCTGAATCTGCTAGTGAAGGGTACGTCCTGGTGGGAAGTGAATTTGGAGGAATCCATATGGCCTGTGGCTCGCCCTGGCCGGTTGCTCAATGGTTAGAGCGTCGGCCCATGGACTGAAGGGTCGTGGGTTCGATTTTGGTCAAGGGCACGTACCTCAGTTACAGGCTCCATCCTCGGCCTGGTAGGGGCGCGTGCGAAAGGCAACCAATCCAAGTCGCTCTCACATTGACATTTCCCTCTCTCCCCCTCCCTTTCACCCTCTAAAAAGCAATAGAAAAATATCCTCGGGTGAGGATTAACAAGAAAGAAAAAGATATTTTCTGTGGCTCGGCCAGAAACCCGAGGGCCACGGTAAGCAGGGTTTCCCTCCATGGCTCGTGGTCAGTACAGACCGGGGCCCCTCGCCGGTCGGCTCTCTGCCCATCTGCCAAGTCATTTCTGTCTGCGATTCAGCTAGACCCGCTGCGGCCAGGCACCCGGGACAGACACGGTGAAAGGCAGGTGGGGTCCTCCTGGGCGGACCGATGCTCCGAGGCCGCGGCCTGAGCGGAAGGACCGCAGGAGGAGGCCGCGTGGCCCTAGTGTGTCTCCCTGTGTTAGAGACGGAGAAACAGACAACGTCTGGTCCAGCCATGATGACGCACCGCCCTCAGCGCGGGCCCCAGCGCGGGGGAGCCACCTCGACCCCCCAGAGCCGCTCTCACGTCTGCCCCGTGCCCTCCGGGGTGGCGTTGACATGGAGGGTCACCGATGGCGTCTTCCCGTGCGGACCCCTCACCGGTCCAGGGAGGTCCTCGTACCAGGTGGGCAACGTGCTGCGGAGGTTCGTGTGGACTCGGTCTGGGGGCCTCACCTCCAGCTGGGGGACCCTTTCGGCTCTGGAGACCCACAGGCAAACCAGGTTGGGGTTTATTCCGGCCAAACTGGGCCTCGGCTCAGGGCGGCGATGGGAAGGGACAAGCTAATCCGATCGCATCGAGTCAGGTTCACCCGGCGGCGCGTTCACCCCCCCACCCCCCCACCCCAGTCTGAGATGCAAGTCACGTTCCTACCTTGGACGTTGTTGGAAGACCGTTTCCATCCCCGCCGCGACCCTCTCATTCGCTGATCACGGGTCTCAATTGCCACCGAGGACTCAGTTTCGGAAAGAATTGTCCCGTTTGATCCCACGCGCCATCCAGGCCACGCGGTCCTCTGTCCCGCGAGGCAGCCTGCCAGCGGGCGGCCAGGAGTAGCAGCCTTAGGAGCCTGCACGCCAAACCGTGCGGTAGCTGATCCTCGGGGACAGCAGAGTCTTACATGCAGTTTGCTGCGGACAGCCCAGTGCCTGCGCCCACAGACAGTTGCGTTCTGTGGGCAGCGAGCGTCCATTTCCCTGCCTCGTCCGATTCCAGGTTGGACTTCAGAGCCTCGAAGGTGCTCAGGTTCCCAGGCTCCCGGCTGTTCCCCGGAGCCTCAGACGGGGCAATGGCATCCTTTACTGAATGCACACTCCCTCCCCCGCTTTTATTTTATTTTATGGGGGGGGGGGTGTTTTAAAAAAAATCTTTATTGTTGAAAGTATTACGTATGTCCCCCTCCTTCCCCATTGGCTCCCTCCAGCCCCCCCACCCCACCCCAGGCCTCAGCACCCCACTGTCCATGCCACGGGCCATGCATAGATGCACGCAAGGTCTTTGGTTGATCACTCCGCCCACCCTCCCTCCCGCCTTCCCTCTGAGGTTCCGCACTCTGTTCCCTGCTTCCCTGGGTCCACTCTGAGCATCCGTTTATTCTGCTGCTTAGATTCCACATGTGAGTGCGATCGTGGGACCCTTGTCTGTCCCGGACCGGCTGGCTTCACGGGGCCCGAGGCTCTCCCCGGCCTCCCTGCTGCCTCGGAGGGTGCGCGACGCTCCTTTCTCACGGCTGCATCGTGTCCCAGGGTGTCCACGTCCCACGGCTTTTTATCCACGCGACTCCTGAGGTCTGCCCGCTTGTAAATCATTTTCCTGATCGCCCCCCAAACTTGTGCAGCATCTGACTGCCGTGAGGGTCAAGTCTGAGGTCGGCTTCCCTCCTGCTCACACGTGTAGCCTCCCCAGGCCTCCACCTGCACCGCAGGCGGGTGCGGGGTGGGGTGCGGGGTTGGGGGGGCAGAGTGCAGGTTGGCCTGGGGCATGGAGCTGGAGGCCGTGGGGGTGGTGGCGGGGAAGGGCGAGCAGCCGGAGGAGGCGGTCACAATGGGCGGGGGAGGGAGGACACCAGGCAGAAGGGGACACAGAGACCCCCCCTCCCAAAGGGCTTTCGCCGTCAAGTGGAAGGTGAGTCTGAGGTCCCAGTGGTTGTGGGAGGGGAGTGCTGGGCGCATGGCTCCAGGGCACTTTTGAGAAGAGATACGATGTTACAGACCCAGGGGAGCCCCCAGGCTCTCTCCTCCTCAGGGACCCCCCATCCCCTCCCCGAGGTCAGGGTGCACCGCTCCCACACGCATTTCTACACTTTTATCACTTCTCATTGGATCCGCAAGCAATTGTCAGAACATTTGAAAAATTCACATAAATGCACTCGAACCTGGCCCATCTTCCCACCACTTCTTCTCTTTCAACATTGTTTTCAAGATTTCCCCTGGTGCCCTGGCTGGTGTGGCTCAGTGGATAGAGCATCAGCCTGTGATCAGAAGAGTCCTGGGTTTGATTCTGGTCGAGGACATGTGCCGGGTTTGGGGCTCCATCCCCCGTGTGGGGCCTGCAGGAGGCAGCCGATCCCTGATTCTCTCTCATCATTGATGTTTCTCTCTCTCCCTCTCTGAAATCAATGAAAATATATTTTAAAAAATATTTCCCCCTGTTGGTGCACTTGGTGGGGAGGGGGGTTGTCCTCTCTGATGGCTGTAGAGCTTTCTCTGGGGGAATGAACCACAATGTATATAATCTCTCCACGCCGGCCCACGGGGCTGCCACGGACACGTGTGCGCAGGTGTGGCTCGTTCCCCCGTCAGCGGGCAGCTGCCCCCGCACCTTTGCCACGTGACGTGTGCTCAGCTACTTCCCCAAATCGTGCAGATTTCCGCTCCCAGCGGGGGAGGCCCCGTTCCACCCCACACCTGCTCTGGCGCTTGGCATCGCCGCCCCTCTCCCCAGGAACAGGGCGACGGTGTAACTTGATTGGCTTTTCTCTGATTATGAAAGCGAAGCACCCGTTTGCTATAAGAAGTTAGACAATGAGGACGAACACAGCACAGAAACTGAGAATCCCCGGAGACGGCTCTCAGTGTTGGTGGTGAAGCAGTGCGGCTGCTCCGCGGTTTTGCTCGCTGCGCACACGAACGAACCTGCGGATGAGCCGGAATGCCTACTGCAGCCACTGCT